CGTAAAAAGACAGTATAAGTCATTATAATCCGTAATTATGTCCCTACTGGATGCAACAAATGCCTCATTTATAATGGGTTTTAAAGTTTTTGTCTCGTTGCTCCGGCATCACAGTATGGTAAGGGGCGTAACATTTCCGTCACACGCTTGAGGTATTCGGCCAATCACAACGCACTGGATAGCTGGCCAATCAGAGCACACCTCGCTTTTCAGACTGATGAGCTTTGTAAAAATCGACGTTCAGAAAGGCGGGGCACAGTATGTGGAAAATAATGTGCTTTTTGAACCTTAAACCGCATAAACACATTTCATTACACCAAATACAGAAAATAATGTTCTTTTTAGCAACATCATATGACCCCTTTAAGCATCACATTGAAATAGGTAATAAATTTGATTTAAAAAAATAAGCGGAATTAAATTTCAAGTTGAAAAACCTCTCTTCTTAAAACTATTTTCAAGTTTCGGATTAAAGACGGTATTTTGAACCATTTGACTTGCTGAGGAAATACATCAACTTCGCGCTGTGGATCGCCGGATCGGCTTTCACCGTGGACGAAGCGGAGTCCAGCCCGGGGTCATCACATATGTGCTTGTCGCAAGCCCGCCCGCCATAAGCTCAACTGTATGTACGATCCAGTTGAGCTTCTTGCGCACGCTAGTTCTGATCGTACGTATGGTAACTCGGCAGCTATGCAAGAATTGTAGTATGGTTGCGTAAAGGGAAACAGACAGTCTGAGGGGAACAGAATCATGCTACACCGGCCCAACTCAGTCCGAGCAAATCCATCTTCAAGAATCGGCTAAAACACATCTCTTCCATCTTTATTTGACCCTCTAACTCTAGCAATATAGCAAGTCAGTTTAATCACCGTTCCATATGCGTTGCTTTAATTGATGCACACTAACCAACACACAACACTCGCGCGCGCACACACACGCAGAGAGAGCGAGAGAGATCGCAGATTGCGCTGCACACACACATACACTTGTTTTCAACTCTTCTCCGCGATTTCTATTAATAAAATAGCCTAGATACTAGATCGCTACATTATATTCCCCAGCAACGATGGTGTTTAAAGTAATTTGTAGAGGCACGTCGATTAGACGTACAGATACGGTCCTGGACCAACCGACGCAATATAGACATGATCTGCACGTCGGGCCGACGTCCCATGTTTGTTGGGATAACGCGCAGACGCAGCACGCAGGTATAAACTGTCATCGCTCTCTCTCTCTCGATCGATAATTAATTGAACTACATTATATAAATATTTCAAATAAATGTGATCTTACGCACTATTTAATCTCTGTGTCTGATTTGAAGTGGGCAGACTGCTAGAGCTAATGCCGTAACTGACGAAAATAACTGTCATTTAAAGAGCTGTAAAGAGCAATACTAGTTTGAACTTGTCTATAACTTGGCAAATGACCATGGAATAAGCGGGATATCCCTTACATGATATTGGAGTATTAATGATGCTACATAACTGGAAAATGCCCCCAAAGTTAGAAACGACCGCTTTTGTTCTGAAGACTTCATGCTTAACTGGCTCATTTGAGATGGTGGGCTACTTACTGCAGAGCACAAGATCCAGGGGGCGAGGGTGGATCCAGATCCAACTCCTCCCAACTGACATATCCCTAAACCCACCTCCACCCCTAAACCTACCAATCTCCACCCCCTAGATGTGGATCCAACCTCGCCCCCTGGATCTTGTGTTCTGCAGTGAGGGGCTACTGGTGCGTTTCCCAACAGCAACTGTGGTGCAAGTTCCGTCGTTACCAATAGAGTTCAATAGAACTTGCGATCATAGCTATCGATGCTTTTGGGGAGCGCACCCCAGGTTTGAGGAATAAATCACATTTATTAGCCCATTTACAATTCAAAATTCAGTCAGAGCCATATAGAACTGTATCTTCATATTTACAAGTAAAGTTTCATATTACGAGTGCGCTACTTTATACCAAAACCCCCCTCCTGTAATTTAGTGGGATCAGACGTAACCGACCCAAGTTAGCACCCTGACTGTAAATCAATATCATAATAATAAGTATATGTATATATGTGTATATATATATATATATATATATATACACCTTGCTACGTGTACTGTGTTAGGCTAACCGAGACTTGTCATTTGCACTTATATATTGTTGCTCTTTTGTTAGTTTTGACTGCTTTTATTGTCCTCATTTGTAAGTCGCTTTGGATAAAAGCGTCTGCTAAATGACTAAATAAATAAAAATAAAATAAATAATAATAGCATAATAATAAAAAATTATTTTAAAACAATCATAAGCCTGTGTCTTCCTCTGTTTATTCCGAATCTGTGTAGCCTTCACAAAATGCGCATGCCTACTATTTGGCTCAACCCTGGCATTTTGGATGATGGAGACAATCTACTATAATTCATGCAAGTACATTTACATTTTTGTGTTTAGCAGATGTTTTTATCCAAAGCGACTTACAAAATGTGTTTGTGGAAGAAATGTGTTATGCCACATTAATTAGGTCAACCGGAACCAGGAACACTTGTCATAACACCACATGTAAGAAGTTTCATCATAAGAAGAATGGCATATTAGTCTGTTTCATTCTTATTCCAAGGTAACTGTAGCCACCCGGATGCAGTCCATATCCAGATCAGATGGTCACTGCAGTCACCTGGATCCAGTCTGTATCCAGACCAGATGGTGGATCAGCACTGTCAGCAGAGACCTAGACAAATAGATGAACCCCAGAGACAGATCCCCTGCAAAGACTTCATTGGTCATTGGCACAAATCCTCAACAAAGACTACGAGAACCAGAAGAATCCTTTTCACATTCTGACTTTTGATGCAGCCTGGAATTAGACCACACCATGTTGGTTTCATCTGGCCAGAAGAGAACTGGCCCCACAACTGAGCCTGGTTTCTCCCAAGGTTTTTTTTTTTATCCATTTCTGTCACCAATAGTGTTTTGGTTCTACTTTCACCTTTGGCTTGCTTAGTTGGGGACACTTAATTGTTTTGGCAATATCGTCAACTTGATTCCAAAGACACTTTTGGGAGAGAACTGAACTGAGCTGGACAAAGACATCACTTAATCAACAATGAACTGACTTCAACTGGAAAAACTGACTGTTTACTATTGTTCTCTTTTTAGAGCTGCTCTAACAGCAGAACTGAATTTTGTTTGCATTATTGACACTATTGTCTTGTTTAACACTGTAAAGCTGCTTTGGCACAATCTGTATTGTATAAAGTGCTATATAAATAAAGGTGACTTGACTTCAGCTGCTTTTTGGGTAGTTGGGTGGAGGTTGGCAGATCATTCGACCAGAGAGGAACAGAGACGGTGAAGGTTTTGGAAAGTCACTTTTTGCCTCACCGTGAAGGAACATAAAGACATCGCTCATTCAGTGACCTGAGCTGAGGAAGAATACACTTGAAGTAGTGAACTGAGGTAGGGAGGTGCTGTTCCAGGGGCAGTCCTAATAGACAGTGTCTAAATTTTATTTATTTTAATTCTGGTCACAACTGGGAGCCACTGAAGTTAGATCAGAAGGGGTGAGACTGGTTCACTTTGGCTAATTAAAGACCAGTTGTGTTGCCACATTCTGAAGTGAAAACATACGCTAATTTGACTGGACTATTGAGAGGCCATCGGGAGTTGTTGGTGTTATCAGCTTGATCTTTGCTTTCAGAAAGCAGAGCAACAGCAGGTTTCTAATTTTTGTTCATCAGCTGATTCTGATGTTGGATTCAAGGGCTTCTCTTCCATCCATGTTGTCACTGACAATATAAGTACTTTTCCATAGTGGGATCCCATTACTCTTTTTGTTTCTGACATTTGTGAACTGGGTACAGTATTTCATTCCCTCAAATGAGAATGAAACAAACTTGACTTTACTTTCTGCCAAGGTTTTTGTGCAAAAAGGTGCAATTCACAATTTGTACTCATGGTGTTGCTATTGGTCTTCCACAGTAATTACAGTGATCACAGAGGCACACGGAGCACTGAGGAGTCTGTGCAGTCAATGTGACTTTTTATTACAATTACAAGTAGTGCTGCTGGGCATGTTCTCACTGAAATGATTCAGTTTGACTGGAATAATGGGTAACAAGAGTAGCATATTTCACAAGCATCCAACTTGTCCAGTCAATCAAATGGCTGCATAAATCCGTCTAATATCCACTTGAATGTGTAACTGCACTGCACAGCTTAATCAAATCAAACGTTCTTTGCTTTGGCGGCAATGAAAAACTTACTGGTGTATCAAATTTGGTTGTAAACTTCATAATATGTATTTTACATAAATCTGTCTTTTAAATGTGTATACATTATTCACAGCCATTTTTAATACTGGGTTAATTCTTTCTTGCCTGCTGTTTGCCAAGAGTTAACTACCCTATCTGGAAATGAGGACCAGTAGGCTGTCTATTACTGTCTCTTGGCCCTTTAAATCTGTCATAAATTCTAACAGATCTGTCTGAGAGAGACCCAGCTGTTGTCACATCTTGTCTACAGAGGAGATCTAACCCAGCAGCTGACAAGCTCAAGGCATCATCCCTGCTCAATATGCTGTATTGTCAAGGAGTAATTTTGAAATATAACTATCCTCTTCATGACAACATCAAACCTCAGTGAGTAGTTATACAGGTTTTTATTATACAGGGTCAAGCGATTAGTCAACAGAAGAGACAGACGGCTGCACGTGAGTGTCCTGCATAATACTTGTTTATAGATCTGCTGTTGGAATTATTACTTGCTGCTAGGAAGGAATATTTCGTTTTCTGCCTATTTCTCTCTTTATTTATTCCTTCTCTTTCTAGCTTGTACTTATTTGAACAATGTCTAAGAACTTGGTATTACAACCACTTCCTGTGTCTGTTTGCCTCTTAAGAAGAATCGCTTTATGTATCCCCCAATTGTAAGTCGCTTTGGATAAAAGCGTCTGCTAAATGACTAAATGTAAATGTAAATGTAATTATTATTTATATTTGCAGGCCTTAAAGAGAGTTAATTTGTGCTTCCACAAATTAAAGCCTTATAAGGATCTTAAATCAGAGCAGAAAGATGCACTGCAAAATATCTTGCTCAGTGATTTTGCTTTCCAATACAAATATACAAAGGTCCTTGAATCAAGATACATTTACTGCATAATGATGAGATGCAAAATGAAGATAAGTCTTGTTGAGAAACAAAACTGAGTTTATGCTTAAAACAAGAACAAATATCTGTCCATGGGGAATGCAAACTTATTTTCCCTTTGAATTAAGTAGATTTTTCTGACCCCATTTGCAGATATATGTTCTTGTTAATCAAAAACGTACTTCTAACCTCTAATTTTGATGAATCTCTCATAAAACAAGACATATTTAATGTTATTTTGCTATACAAGTAAATGTATCTTGATTTAAGAACCTTATTTTTTGAAGTGTGATCAGAAGGTAGTTACTTTCATATTGTTTGAGAGCTGAGCTATTCAAGCCTTAAGCTATTAAAAAGTAATGAAGATCTGTAGGAAGTTATATTTTCATACAACTAATTACATTTAGAGAGCATATTGTCATAGTGTTCCCTTTCAATTTATCCCTTATATTTTCTATACTTGGTCTTAAAAGGATCTTAATTTTATCTTCATAAATCCTGCATAACCCCTGGTTGTAGCATACTGTTATTTCTCTTTAAAAATGCCGCAATGCTATATATAATATTCCTTACTTCATTTGTTAACAGCTCAGAAATTAAAAATAAACGGTGGCAACCTCTTTAAATTATTCTTGACTGTGTTGGATTGACTGCTTTGATGCGTTGCAATAAGGTAGGGCATTGTTTTGATGCTTACATCCCCCAAAAAATCTTTTGTTTTTATTTATTTCATATATATTTTTATATAATATATATGAAAAATATATATTATATAAATATAATATTTATATAATAAATATTATATATTTATTATATTATATATTTATTTGACTCAAGAGTCAAATGTCGCCCATGATTAGTATTAGTACTAGTAGCAGCAGTAGTAGTTTTGATATATTGTATGTGTTGTGTTCATTAATAAATTGACAATTGACTTCAAAAACTAGCCAAACTAAAATTAACGTGCAGCCAGTAGTAGTTTTGGAATCATTAAAAGTGTATTTTTAAAAGTATGTCTTCAATTTGTTTATATCTTTTTCGTTTTAGTTTTCGTTAACAACAATAACACTGATGAAATGCTCCATGATCTTTCACTGACCCATTTCCAAGTCCAATAATAGTGAGCATGTTAGTGTGCAACAGTCTTCACACTTTGTAGAGCATAATGTACTATGTATAGCCTTTTTTCACTTTGTTGCACCTGACTGAGGCATTAAGGTCTGTCTGCCGGCACACTGTGTACTCCAGGTGTGTGTTAAACAGCTGTGTGAGGCTCTTCTAACTTAAGCATCTCTGCTAATGAGGGGAAAAGTGACAAAGTAGTAATGAACCTAAAACAAAAAGAAATATAAAAAGGAACATTGAAAAAAAAAAAAAGTAAAAAAGAGCACAGCACAGCTGATAGCTCTTCAGATCAAAGACTTCTGTTTAGCATATGGGTACCTCTGGTAATGAGAAATGAAGAATGAAAAGAGGAGGACTGGAGGAGCAAAAGGGGGGAAGGGAGTTGTTTTGGCTGGGGGATGCAGATGTAAGACAGAGGGTTACAGGGAAGGCCACAGCTGACTGACAGAACGCCCTCAGAGAGGGAGGGAGATGGTAGTGTGAGGGGGCAAAGAGTGCAGTGTTGCTCCAGGGTAAACACATCTCTCCAGGGAGAGCAACAGCACTGAGATGTGTGCACACACACACACACACACACATACTTGCATTTGTGGTTTACGGGGACTCTCCACAGGAAGTGTCCTCATAAACCATGTTTACGTTGTAGTACCCATGTCATTATACACATTTGTGTCCTCATAAACCATATATACCAGTACACACACACACACACACACACACACATACACACACACACACACACAATCTCCTTCTCTCTCGCTCTGTTCTACTCACCCCAGTACAGCTCCTATGGCCGTACCAGCCAGCAGCCCTCTAAATCCCAGATTCAGCCTGAACACTCCTCCTGTGAGAGCTGAACACAAACACATGCGAATACTGTCATTCTGTCATCTTAGTATGTTCAGCAAACATGCTTTTAAAATCACTTGACTTGAGGCACAGACACAGGCGTACCAAGTAAAGTACCATCACCCAGAGACCCAGAGGATGAGGAGTTTGTGAACTTACCACCTGCAACAGCAAAATGGCTCAGAGCATTTTGGTCTCTGTACACTGTCAATCCAGTACTTACAGTGCTGTAAAAAAAAAAAGATTTGAACAGCATAAAGCGTTTTTCATAATTGCGGAAACCTGACAGGCTATTAATTTTCCTGCAGCAACAATCCTAGTACAGTAGTTCTAAACCTATTCTACTGTTTTCAAACACATGCTGTATATATTTCTAAAACTCAGATCTGCTGTTGAAATAATGCTGCTCAATGGAAAGGTATAGTTTCTAATTTTAACTAACTAGCAGTGCTTAAATAAAATAAAATAAATGAAATAATGACTGTTTTCAAATAGGTTTCCCCAAACAGTCCTACCACCCTTTTCAGCCTTCCCCGAAATCACACCATTGGCTAAATCAGTAATGTTTTCACAATTTTAAAAAAGCGGAAAAAAATGGAGAGAGACTGATAGCGACAGAGAGACTGAGACACTTCCGCCACTAAAAACTATATTAGAAAACACCCTCATAGCAGTGTTAACTATTTTTTTGTTGTTGTAATTTTATGCAAAGGTATAGTAAAGTGTTGTAAATGTACATACATTAAAATATATATATATATATATATTTAAAAACTTTTCATGATTTGCGATGCTGATGACTGTTAAAATGCGTCATCACAGTCTGTGAAACTGGTCCATAATACATTAATTGTAAAATTAAAGAAAAATTCACCCAAAAATGAACATCTGCTAAGAATGTCCACACTCTCAGGCCACCAACGACGTAGATGAGTTTGTTTCTTTAAAGGAAATTTAGCATTAGATCACTTGCTCATTAATGGATCCTCTGCAGTGAATTGGTGCCATCAGAGAACAAACAGCTGTTAAAAACATCACAAATAATCCACAAGTCACACGACTTACATCACGGTCCTTCAAATAACGTCTTGTGAAGTGAAAAGCTGCATGTTTGTAAGAAACAAATCCACAAAGATGTCACTTCCGAATCAAAATCTATAAAATACTTTTTCTCTAGTGGAAAAAGTCCATCCCCTGTTGTCCTCTCACATCAAAACCTATTTCTTTAGAACTGTTTTGGCTTGACAGAGCTTGATCTGTGCATATTTCTCTCCTCATTCAGACAAGATAACTTCTTCACTGGAGAAAGCAATATTATGGATTATACAAGACAAAACAGTCCAAATACAGTCAAACCAAAATTTATTCAGACACCTTCAACATTTCTCACATTATCACGGTTTATTCGCTATAGTTTAGAAAAATGGTAATAAAATATGACAAGAACTCAGAGTTAAACTGTGTCAGAACAAATTCATCTTTGATAATGTCAGATAACTTTGATAGAAAGGTATGTAACAAAACATGGTCAGGTCAAAATGTCAAATCAAATTTTTGGGTCCCAACTTTTTTTTATCAATTTTACTGGTAGTCCACTGTGTGAAGAATTCTGGGGTATAATATGTCACAGTTTACTTTATTTTGCTATCCTCACTTACATAAATGAACTATAGTGTCCTGCACCCACTAGTAAAAAATATCTAAAATTATATCTGGTGTCTGAATAATTTTTGGTTTGACTGTATATGAGTGGATTTCGATGTGAGAGGACAACAGGGGATGGACTTTTTCCACTGGAGGAAGTAATATTATGAATTATGGGGTTGTATTTTAGCCAGAAGCGATGGTTTGATGGATTTGTTTCATACAAACATTCAGCTATACACGCAAGAGGTTAATTGATGGACTGGAGTCATGTGGATTACTGTAGTGTTTTTAATCAGTTGTTTGGACTCTCATTCTGACGCCACCCATTCATTGCAGAGGATGCATTGGCAAGCTTATGATATAATGCTAAATATCTCCAAATCTGTTCTGATGAAGAAACAGTCTCATCTACATCTTGAATTGGCTGAGGTTGAGTACATTTACAGCAAATGTTCATTTTTAGGTGAACTATATCTTTATGTCAGACAAGTTCATTTAAACATGTAATTAAATGTTTCACAAATTAAACCTAAACATATCTAAACTTACTTAAACATGGTCACAAAAGCTGCTACCCTCCAGCTCCACCTCCAGCCAAAGCGCACAAACCCACGAATAGCTGCATTATGGGCTGAGCGCTGGAGAGACACAAATATATACACAAAACATCACTGTATGCACATTTCAGCCCCATAAAATAATAATGTGCATTTCTCAGCTGTACAAAATATAAAAACAAAGCAATTCAAGCATAAAAAAACCATATTTTACAGTACTCAAGTATACTGATGCATTAATGGACAATGAGAGCAGATGTCAGCGTGAATGTAAATCTGTTGCTACAAAACAGATACATTTGATGCATATATTTTCAGCCTCTGTTCTTTTTGTCTTACCACTGCATCCACTCTGTTTTGGTAAATTTCAGCCTGGCTGAGCTGGATGAATCTCTCACGGGCATGTCTTGCTCCTGGTAGGCCTCCATAGACCATCCCAACCACAGCTGCAGCAATGCCACTCTTTACTATATTCCTTAACTCCTCTGAGTACATCTGACCCTCGCTGAGTGGAAAGCAGGAACAGAGTCAAAGAGAGGCAAATGCACCATGCCCACAAATGTTCCATAAAGGTATCTCTGATACTGTGTGTTACAAATATGGCATAGCATCTGGCTGTGCTTAGTTAATTGTGAATTAAATCTCATATCACGTGTACCAAACAAGGCCGGTGAAAGGCAAAGAACTACACATTTAAAGTCCGATTACAATGGCAGAGCAACACAACAATGTGTTATGTATTGCAGACACATCACTGATACTTACCTCCTGTGGAAAAGATCTTTGATACGATCCCATCCTGTGTCAGGGAACTCTGGTTTACGTAGGTGCTGTGGTAAGGTCTGTGTGGAGGTACTATCAGACGCATGAACACTAGGAAGACTGAACCCCAGAAGACTCAGATGTGAGCCCTCAAGTCCATGTGCATCTGTCCCCCCACATGTGGGTGATGAATCCAGCCGGCCTGCAGTAAGCATCAACAAGCTGTTCAATCACAGAAACACAAGGCCAGAGGTATAAGAGCGTGTTTATGCATGTTCATCCACACTGACACGCATGCCCTATGGTTAGACGACAGAATCATACAGACAGGCTGCATTTAACACCTGAAGCAACACAGCTGTCAAAAAGAGTTTCTGCATCACAGAGGAATAAATTATAGAAGCTTGTTTCCGCCATGGGATAAAAAAAAGAAGTAACTGCCACTTTTTAAATCACAATTCAGACTTTAGCCTATTTCTCGTAATTCTGAGAAAAAAACAAACATAAAACAAAGTTTATGTTTTACATAAAGAATTTAGACTCTTATCCATGCAATTACAAGTTTACATTTTAAAATTCCTTTATATCTAATAATAATATCTCGTAATTCTATTTTTTTTAATAAAAAGTATATATATATATATATATATATGTTTAATTATAATTTTACATCAGTATGTCTTAAGTGATATGTCAGTAAATATGTTAATGGATTTGAAGTATACTTAGTATAACATAAATGTATTTTAAATAAATTATAGCATATGTATTTTTTTAACTAGGGCTTTTATATCACAATTCTCTCATTTTCTCAGAAGAACTGCGAAATAAAAACCCAGCTGTACATGCGAAGACACCCCACAATGATATCAAATCATAACTGAACCAAAGGTAATATGAATGATGTTTTGGAGGAAAAATAGAATCCAACATATTCAAAACAAGTGCAGAGAAGCATGTTTAACGAAGCAAAAAATGATATTCTACTTTCTCAACAAGCACTAACAGAATTCTAGTCTTCCGTACCGGATATATTTTACAGCGTGTAGGCAAATTATACATCGCTTAACAATTTAGGATAATTTGTAAAATGCTAAAAAAAAGAGTAGACTGTAAATCTGACTGTAAATGACAGTACATATACAGGAGCAAATCGTAGTATAAATCAATATGGACTTATTCTCATAAAATCCGACATGTCTCACCCGCTTTCTTTCAACGCTCCTTCACCGTCCATTACAATGTCAACATGTTCACTTCCTTACATAATGGTGCAGTTACGCCATCTAGTGGTGGAGGACCCGACTAATTATAATTAATTATATCAGGGTTTAAAATCAATGTCTTGTTTATCTTGCTTATCAACGCCGTCAAAATATAAAGGAATAAAGAAAAAAACATTTTCAGTGTTTAAAAAACCAGCTTTTATTGTTCATGATTACCTTTATTAAAACAACTAACTAGTTTGAGGTCATAAAAATGACTGTGGGAACATTTTAAATCTACAGACACGTTGACAATTATCTACTGGAATACTAGAACATATTCAACATCTCAGTATCATTCAGCTATGCTTACATTCAAATGATCCTCTAGTGGCACTTAAGTGTGGAATCAAAATTAACGTCATCAATACTTTACTACTAACATTGTTTTACTGAGGTTTTGCTGGTATTGTTCCATTGATAGTGACTATAGAAGACATGTTTTTTTGACACCATTTTGAGTTCATCCAAAATCACTAATCATCATTTGGATCCAGAAATAATTTTTTACAACAAAAAGTCATTCTACACTTGATCAAAGTAATCTACTGACATTATTTCATGTAACAAATGTATTGAATGTGGTCTTATGGCCTAGATGACAGGATTAATTTGAACTGGCTTCAGTTTTGACACTTTAAATAACTAGTCCTAACTATTCAACTGAAATTGCCCCAAAAATCTGCAATGGAAAAATGTCTACATAACTTCAACAGGAGAAAAAAAAAAAGTGTTGCTTAAACAGTAACAATTCCACTAAGACCATGATGAAGCCATACAATTTTAAGGAAACATTTTTGGCAGGTCGTTGTCTGTTATGCTGTTTCAGAATCAATTATTTTTGCATTGTGCTACACCTGCATCAGATTTAACACCACACTTCAAACTGACTTCTTATGACCTTAAGAACTTGTGATGAGACTGATGAATGCTATGAAGACACCAAGCATATTATAGCTGTGTAATATTTCTGACATCCAGAGGATGAGGGTCTGGACAGGTCTCTTTTATAATTAGGCAGATCACTGTATTTTAACTTAACTGATTTTAAAACATTCCTTTGAAGCAATATAGACAGTCTTAGAGACATTTGGCAGGATTCACTGGATTAACCACACAGAGCTGCCTTTAAACGCTATTTTCAGCTTGTTAAGATCAGTTTAAAGAGCAACAGAATGAAGAGCAAGAATAAAGGCAGACAAAAAGGAGGATGGTCTCCCCATTATGGTTTCCTCAGGTCAGAGTTCAGATCTGCTGGCTCTGTGGATGATCTGATTGTAATTAGATTTTCTCTTGGGTTTGTATTTGAGCAGCTTGCTGAAGTCAGTGAGGAGCCTCTCCCAGTAACAAGACACATCCTCCATACGGAGATGATTCAGAATAAAGTTCTGGCCCCTAAAGAAGTACAGAACCAGAAATATTAGTATTAGCATAGACAATGTCTTAAAGGGACAGTTTAGCCAAAAATGAAAATTCAATGATCATTTGCCTATGTTGTTCCAAAACTACAAGCACATTTTTTCTTCTGCAGAAAACAAAAGAAGCTAGTCTGAACAATACTGGTAACCAAACAGTTTGGTTTACCATTGACTTCCATTATATGAACAAGAAAAACACTAAAACATGTAATATCTTTTTTTTTATATTCCAGAGAAAAAAAGACATACAGGTTTGGAACGACATGAGGGTGAGTGAACCATGACAGAAATGTATATACTAGAATAAACTCATTAAAAGAATGAGCAATTTGTTACCTCACAGCAATTTCTTCTGCTACAGCATCATTTTCTTTCACAAACTGAAGCAGCTCTCTAACAACAGAAAGAAAAACAGTTTAGTTTTTAGAACATCAGCAGTTCTCTGCTGCTGTTCTCATTAACATTTCTATGAACACATCTCACTTGTTTGATGATAATTACTTTAACAGGTCTGGAACAATATGAAGGTGAGTAAACAGAACATTTCAGCTGAAGATGTTACACAGATTACATTTACAATATATTGCCTAATTGTTAACATTTCCTTTTCCCCTTTTGTCGTATATGTAAGACTGAAATTGGCACTTTGATTGCTCGTAGTCATGATATTTGATACAGATATACAAATGTAACATACTTTTGTGAAATGCAAATAATTTTGAGCACAAACTTAGATTTGAACCCTTTGTCGTTGTTACTAGGCCCATTGATAAAGCTTTGCAAAAGTGTGAATGAAGATAATACCTTACATGTGCATGTAAAACAAAGACAATTTAGTGAAGTGTTTATAGGTTTATTCTGCAAAAACAACAAATTTCACCTCCAACGGCTAACATAATTAAAAGCACAGAATGTAAAACACTTTGACCATAAAATCACAACAGGGTACACAGGAGAAAATGTGTGTTAAAGAAAAGGGTGGATATCAGCTAGCCAGAGGAAAATGTTTAAGTTACCTCAGATCAGACAAGTCCTGTTTGACAGGAATGTAGTGAACCCAGGGCTTGAGCTGAGGGTAGAAGAACTCAAGCCAGTCCTCGCCGACATGAAAAACCAGGGATCCACACAGGAAAAGATGCTTCAAACGAAAGCTAGCAGCCACACCTCTGAAGTTAAAAAGGTATCTGAGGGATAAAGATAACATACGATCTATAACAAAATATCTTAATGCTGGTTCACGGTTTCAGTGCTATAGCTCATGAAAAAGCAGAAATGAGACCGGTCTTACTTGTATTCACAGTGGTCAACTAGAGGGATTTCTTTGGCTGGGGGTCTACCCAGAGTGTCCTGAGGAAAAACAACAAAACAAAATAGTAACGTTAGTTCTGAAATGACAAAGTCTACAGCAGAAAGATAAAACAAACTGATTTTGAGTTTGCTGAAAATATTAAAGCACCTCTAGCATAATGTTTCCCAAGCCTGTCCTTGCTGAGACAGCAGCCTATAAACGCACTGCCTGTCAATAATGTTTATCAAAGAACAAAAGAAAATCATTTACTGATCTTGACTGAATCTATTTAAAGAGGTCATATGATGCTTTTTTAAAGATCATTATTTTGTGTATTTGGTGTAACAGAATATGTTGACATGCTTTAATGTTCAAAAAACACATTATTTGGGGCGTGGCAGAGTCTTAACTTTGATAAAGAATATCTCTTTGGTTTTGAGACTTTAGTCTTTGCAACTTCAGGGATCTTATCTATGCACAATCAGCTTGTAACACTCCAAAGAGAAAGGCAAACTTGAAATCGCATCATATGACCCCTTTAATAACTTTAATTAATCTACATTTTATTTATGAAAAGAAAACTACGCAGTGTTTTTAAACTTTTAATTACAGTTTCAAAACCACGATCATATTTTGCACAGCTTGTCTGTGAACAACGGCTCTGTGTAGTAAATGCTGCTCAATGTGAAAGCACGCACGCACGTGATGGAGATTTACCGCTGATTACAGAACTGGCTTTTCTGACAAGATGCGCATTAAATATCGCATGCGATTTATCGTGCAGCCCTATACGCAACCCTACTGATTCCCAAGTCCAAGACAGACCAGATGGGTTGCCCTGTTGGAATACTGCTATTATCCAGTTTAATTCAGTTCAAGTTTTGTTCTTATCTTATGGTGTCAGTCAGTGTGATCATATCGATACATTTCTGAAAGTTAAGCGTCTTTCAGGCCCCAACTAACCAAGACCAAGGCAACAGTAGCAAGGCACCCAAACTCCATTAGGTGACAGAAATGGAAAAGAAAAAAGGGATGCCAGAAACTTGGCTCAGTCGGGGGACCAGTTCGGCGGCCTAAGCGAATGCATGGTGTGATACTGATCAAGGATGCCTTTCATATATTAAATAAGGATAAACAAACCTTCTCTGACTTCCAAGCCTGGTTCTTGGTGTACTCGGCATCCACAAGGTCAGGGGCTTCTCTTGAGAGAAGGATCAGAGGGTCCCTTTCTGAACTGGTCCTACAAAGATTGGCAAAACGAATCAGTTTACGAAGAAAACAACACTGCATTTAACTATATGTTGGAAACACAACTGACCTAGAGCCTCTAAAGAATCCTTTTGGATTTTTTTTCTTCCAGGGCCATCGAGCAGCTGATCTGAAGAGTGTGAACTAAACATTAGATATATAATGGCCTGAAATCGACTGTAATGCAGTTAACCCTCTGTATACTCTCAAGCATTCTTAAATCTTTGCTACCCACTTTTTCAGGTCATCCCTCATGAGGTCCCAACGGCCCAGTCCAGTGGGATAAATGGGCCATACAGCAGGACCTCCCTCCCAAAACGTCCATGCAGGATACATGATGTCCTGGTAGTCTGCCGTCTAAACAATGAACAAAAGTATAACTATAATGTTAAAAGACATTAATACAATTAGAGCCCTACTAATATTAATCCTACTAATATTAATTTTGTTTATAAACAAACCAAACACTTTTTGAATGTTGAAAATAGAATGTTCTATTCATGCATATTCTTTTACAAAAAAGAGATATATATATATATATATATATATATATTTAATTTTTTTCTACATTAATAAAAAGTGAAGCTATGGGGTCAGTCAGTGTTAGTAATCTGAAGGCAGAGGCACAAAGTAATGCAAATTGCCTTAATATAATTAAGCAGGATATACCATATACTACTGATTTACCCTACAACCAAATTAGTACATTGTTCAATGGTGCTACACTTGGTGTGGTTGTACACACCTTACTGAAAGAAAGTACAGGCAAGACTGGCTGAACCCATCCAGGAACCTGTGGATAGTCGCGCACATTAATCACCACCTCCAAATCTGGCAACCGGTTAACCACTTTTAGGATGAAGTGCTCGACACCACTGCATCTGCAAAGAAAGGATAAATGTCTGATATTCAACATTCATACGCACACAATAGGATCATGGTTTTACTAAAAAAATGTATTAATAAATAACGTACACTTCACCAACCTTGCTGGAAACATGCAGCTTTGTTCTCTGTACAATTTGTTCCCAATGATCTGGTAGTGAGTACCAACACCTCTGTGGACTGTGTCTGCCATCAACCCCTCAGACATGCCATTTTTAAATGGCCTAAGGTCATCTTTCAGGACACTGCAATCAAAAGAGCGATGGAGGAAAGTTTACATTATACAGATGCATGCATCTGCAGTGTGTATTCTTTGGGAAGATCTGCTATGAACAAGGGCTACTTTATAAGTTGACCTGAGATGACAGCTGCAGTTCTCCAGACTGCATGGCTGGTAATTATTTGTGGCTTCTGTGATCTTCCTGATGAATGACTGCCAGCGTTTGGCTGATGGAAAGAGAGGAAAAAAAAATATATAAAAAAAACCAATCTGTTCATTCAATATTTTTTCCTAAACACACAGATTGTTGACAGTTTTAATAGTAAGACGTGCTGTATTTTTAAAACAGGATTTTTGCAGGTTTTATGAAGGTAAATTCAAGACCAAGGAATAAATTAAATGGAACACAATACATCAATAGTGTCTCTAAATGTAAATAAGCAATACATCAAAGTTAAAAAATGCAATTTGCAACTGATCTCCATTATTTTTTAATAAATTTGACAAAAAAACACGTACCCTCTGATCACACTGCAAAAAAGCAATGCTCGTCCTCAGTATTTTTGCCTTGTTTTCCACTGCAAATGTCTAATCATGACACATTTTCTTGAGAAGTTTAAGTTTTGTTTTCTGAGAAATTGTTTAAAATGATCAAGTTTTATCAAGTCAATGAGTTTATGATTAAACAAAAACAAACATTTGCCAGCGGTCTCAGAAAAATCGACCTAATTCAAAGGAAAAAAAACCCATTTAATTTCCCCATCAAAAGATATTTCTTTTTTTAAGCATAAACTCATATTTTGTTCTCAGAAAACAAGACTAAATATGATTACGTTAACTCGCATCACAAGTGAATGTATCTTCATTTAAGGATGTTTGGATTTTACATTGCAAAACAAGACAAAAATACTGAGGAAGATATATATATATATTTTTTGGTAATGCATAAAACATGTAATGCTACGACTTTATGAATTGAAGACTTCCAAAAACATCAGATTTGCTGGGTCTAAACTCCGCTAATGCTAAAGACGCAGGTACAGAAATCTACAGTAGGCTATTAAGATTCAGATGTGAAAGTTAACTAATTAAAACGCGACCTACCAAAGATAGATAATTGTCAGCATCAAACCAAAATTCTCTAAGTTCTCACCGTTATCTGCAAGACACAATTCAACTCCATTCAGCAAAAGGATAAAAGACGGCATGAGCAGCCATGGCAGCTCCATTGTTCTGTATCAATTAAGCGTGACTGGCTCGATTTGAGGAGAAGTCGATGAATGTACTAGTATGGTCTGAAACTATATTAGAAGTCCCCACTTTGACATAAAGGCTATTAAACATAATAAAGTATTTTAGTGGATCTCTAATCTTTGGAGTAACTAGGGAATTTTAGTAAAGTAATCATGCTGCCCTTGATGGCCGCCATGGGACGCACAAAGTGTTACTCGGGGGCTCAAATTCCAATTTAGCCTCGCAGTTACTATAGTAGTGTATACATATTCTAATTAGCCCACTATTGTTGCATTATTAACATAAAAGTTGTCCTTTCATGTGCCGATCTCGCTTGTTCTTGCCCCAACAGACTACACTTCACATAGGCCTGTAGGTGGCACTTGGGCTTCGTTTAATGGGTGGTTATATCAAACTGTAAATCAAAACGCAATACAGTAAGTATTAATTGACTATATTGACTATGAGGGGATAAAATAACTGTGTGTGAGTGTGTGTAGATACAATATTTTGGGGACAAATTCTAAGTGATCTAACCAATAACCCCTGACATCCAGGGACATCCTCATTTGTAAAAAACGGTATATATATAAAAAAAAGAAAATAAAAATCTAAAAGTGAGTGGAATAGTGCAGTCTCACTGCATTGTAACTGTTGCTATATTGTGACATGTTTTCAGGTTTAAATGTTGAATGTAATTGCCTTTCAGATACTTCTCTGTGTAATATGCTTCTGCACTTTATTTGTCATATAAAGATACATTCCATTTAAGTAAATTTATTTAAATTACATTGGCAAAATGCACAAATTTACCAGTTAAGTTAATGGCATTTATTTCCTGAAAATAAAATTATTAGGATTAATTTGGCCTTTAGATAAAATGTTCTGTAAAGGTCAGATACCCCTGGGGGCATCTTGCCGCATGTAGGGGGTAATTTTTGTTCCAGTGGTGGGGCAAGATGGCCTCCTTTCATATTTTTAATTTTTGTGCCATTACAACTAAACTGTTAACTGTTTCAATTTGATTCCTAGTCTGTTGGGTCATGCTTAATGATCCTTTACATGCTAAACTTATGTAAATGTGTTACAGTTTATCAGTATACGGACATTGTTCTTAAGGGGGTTTCTTCACCCATCTTACCCTCCTAAAATGAGCCAAAATCTGGAGATTATGGTTTCGTCTTGTATTTTTATTTGAATGCTATAAAACTATTTACCTGTTCTGTCTTCCTCCTATCGTTTTTGCCATCTGCTCCTCATCTGATGCTCTTATTACTGTATATTTTACATGTATGTCTATATCTCTTTCCTTTGCAAAGTGCTTCTTTGCACACCCATTTGCTATCTTCTTCCCTTTTACTCTCATCTGAGCTGGTACCCATCATCTAAATCCATACAGTATAACCTTTGTATCATTCAAGATGTCTGATCTTCTGTCAAGATGTTCCCAGTGTTAACCTGTATTCCTATTACACTCTCAGAAAAAAAAAAAAACCACACAATAAAAGCTGTCACTGGGGCGGCACCTTTCGAAAGGTACAAATATGTACCATTAAGGTACTAACATGTACATTTTAGGTACTAATATGTACCTTTAAAGCACTTGTGTACACTTTAGGGTAAATAAGGTACATGTGTGCATTGTACCTTTTTTTTCTGAAAGTGTACCCTAACTGTAGGTACACAGGACTTTTTTCATGTGTTCAGGTGACCTATATTTTGATTTTTTTCTACAATGATTATCCTCTACATGTTGAGAGACGTGTACTGTCATTCCCTATGGTACTCATGTCTGTCCTCTTTTTCTTCAGATCATGATTTATTTTTAGCCTTTAAATGACTGGGTCACTAAAAGAGGCCTAAATTCACCAGGGAAATACTCATTGGAACATCTCTCAAATATCTTATCCTATCATGTCTTTGCCTAATTGTTGGGAAGAGGTGAGGTGGCAGAGGGAGGAAGAGAGCATAAGATGTTTTTTAGTGCTGAAGAACTACTCATTGAGTCTCATTTTGTTGGTCAGCCTCACTGTCCTGCAGGATCTTACCTGGACTCTTTCCAGCAATCTCTTCTTTTCATTCACCTGTTCAATCATTGCTACTATGCTGTCTGTCTGGCTTGTCTTGGTTTCCTGCATAGATTTTCTCCTGTACTCTTCTGCAGAGGAGGGTCTGGAGTTTCCCAGTTTCGATGGCAAGGACAGAGTTCTTAATGTCAATGAGAGAAACTATAAGAAGGCATTAAAGAAGTATGACATGATGTGTTTGCTGTTTCACGAACCCCTGCCTTCAGATAAGGAGCTCCAGCAGCAGTTTCACATGAGGGAGATGGTTCTGGAGGTAAGAAATTATTGCAACTGAAGAATTTGGTGGATGAATAAGGACAGATGTGCTGAATGGTATATTTTTAGAACAGACCATCATATGTATTATGATTAACTTTTATTTGGGTGGGAGGAGGTCTAACACACACTACATGTGGAAACTGGTAGGAATTTTTTATGATTAATTTTAAATTCATTTTAATTAAATAAAAAATAAAAATAAACAGTTTAGCTTTAATAATTAATTTTAATTTGATATATAAAACAGGAAATTATATCAGAGAAGACCCCTGAATAACATTTGTGTCAAAGTCATAAGTCTCTTAAAATATCTTGTAGTTTCAAATGTTCTGACATGACAGGGTTAGTTCAGGTTGTAAGATATTTTTACCTTTTTAAAAAATATATTGCAAAACCTAATTAGAATGGTTAAAATGTGTACACTCGTATGTTTTCAAGGTGTATAAAAAATATGTATCCGTTTTTATTGGATGGTCATGTAAGGTACCTTTTTGAAATGTAACTAAATTACATTTGTATTTAAAGTGGTATGAGAGTTTTTGGTATGATATAGTTAGTTAACTATCTTTTTCTTTTTTTTCTTTTTTCTTTTGGACACTAACCATTTGTCGTTGACACAGTTTCCAGTTTCAGTTTTCTAACCCAATTTTTTTAACCTAAGTGATCCGTGGAATATGCATTAGTACCCTCGGTTGGAAATCATTGACTTAGAAAATATACTTGAAAATACTAGATCTGAGGCTCTTCAGGATAAGCAGCTGAGTGAAGTATTATATAAACCTGAATATCAAAAATAGTTTCAGATGCTCCATATAAAATGCATCGAGTAACAATTGGCTGCACCAGGGTGTCAGACTGTACATCTGCTTTCTGTGTCTACCTGATGTGCAATTTAGTGTAAAGACTGACCTGATTTTGAGGCTAACAAAGGCTCCACAAACACCGATGCTGGGTCTACTTATGATAACAAAGTTAATGAAGTATAGATTCGACTATATGCAGATATCAGCCATACATTACACAAAACTTTTCCAGGTTTAAGACTCCTTAGATATACTGTGAAAGTGTTGGCCCAGACTAAATTGGTATTATAGACAACAGTTGTGTATATAATTCTCACACTATGAATGTACTGATGTGTCTCTTCCATGCATCACCAGCTTGCTGCTCAAGTTCTGGAAGACAAGGATATTGGTTTTGGATTGCTAGACTCACATAAAGATGCTAAGGTTGCCAAAAAGCTTGGTAAGAGTCACTGTGCTAATTACATTGCTTTTTAGATAAAGTTTTCTTACTTTTCCGTTTCAGTAACAAACACCTAATATGTCTTGGCATTGTTGAGGTTTGACACACAGCATCCTCACTGAATCATGTGATCTTTGTCCATTAGGTCTGGAGGAGGAAGGAAGCATCTATGTGTTTAAGCATGAAAGAGTGATTGAGTTTGATGGAGAGCTCTCTGCAGATACACTGGTTGAATTCCTGCTAGATGTGAGTGAAATTTGTGCATATACTGTGGCTGTGCTTTTTGATATACTGTTTAAACAGCTTTTAAGATTATGGATCTTGCTAACATGGCTCTCTAACTGCAAAAGTAGTAACCTGCAATTGTTACTTTAAAGAGTCATTTCTACATATTAATCCTATATAAAGTAGATTGATGGTATAAATTAATGTATTAAAGTTGCTTAAGCAATTTTTATTTCATTTTTATAAGATATTTTTTTTACATATAAATAATGTTTCTGACTTAATTTTTCAGTTAATTTTCATAATGTGTGTGTTTCACATCATTCTTCAGCTGCTGGAGGACCCAGTGGAGTTGATCAGTAATCCCATGGAACAACGTGCCTTTGAGCGAATGGATGAAGACATACGCCTTATCGGCTACTTTAAGGGCGAAAACTCTGAACGTGAGTGGCTTTTTTGCTTACCAGTATACTCTGCATGTAAAATTATGATTTTACGGCTATGCTCTAATCAGTAGAGTGTTTAGGCATCACGTAAACCACTCAATTGCTTGAGGCCCCGTGGTTCAAGTAGGCCTCCCCGGAACATGATTTCTATCAAAGGGGACCTCAATAAAAATATAACAAAGAAAAAAGGAAAGTGTGAAAAATCAACTCAAATTCAAACCAAAATGTGATCTACTGTGACGGTACCCCGCTTTTAAAAGGCGTGTCAATGCGTCTTAACATAAGTCCAAAAAAGGAGGGAAGGAGGGGGCTTAGGAAGAGATTGTGGAGCTGGCCGAATGGACCCCATGGACAAGGTAGGACCCAGGGAGGAGATGATGGCAGGAAGAGCCAAAGAGTAGATGTCAAGAGGAGTCAGGAAGTGACCCCCAACAGGGCCACTAGGATGCAGTACCATGGCGGAACCAAAGGAGGGAGGAGACATGGTGTAGTCAGGAGCCCGACCAACTGAGGTGGAGACAAGCCCAGGCAGATACTAACTAATGAGCCAAAGACCCAGGGAGACTCCTGAGACCCTGAGGGCCAAGGCTCAGGCTCACAGGACCGCGGAGGAGATGGGGACTCAGCAGGCCAGGCCAGAGCTGGAGGCAGTGAGTACTGAGTGAGTTGGAGCCGGAGGGAAGGAGGAGCCTGTTAGAACAAGAGGGATGGAGGGATGAGGCACAGCCAGAGGACTGGAAGACCGTGGTGGAAGCAGGTCAACGACTGATCAAGCCGGAGCCAGAGGGACAAGGGAGCCTTGTGGAGTCTG